CTTTTGCACCCTGTTTAAATTCTTCCCAACTCTGCTCTCTACTCTCCACAAATCAGTTCAGCTCTAAGTACACGCTCTTAAATACCCTATCGGTAAACGTGTTTGGGCTATCGCGACAACTGCCCTCGGCGGAGTTCACATATTTTTAGAATGCTAACCAAAACAACCTCACAAGACTTTGAAATGAACAACAAAGTACTTAATAACAACCAATCTTCGAAAAACAAAACCTAAACAAAACCTAAACAAAACCTTCCGTTAAGGATTCTAAGCAAGGTCAAGGACAAACCTAAACACGAATAGCGATGACGATCATCGTACTCGATTTAAGCTCTATCACAACGGTCCAGGACACATTACTAATTAATGTGTGGTCGTGCAGCACATAACAAACCAAGGCTCACAAGACTCGCGTAAGAACTTCAGGATAACCTAACAGGCCTAAACAATCCCAAACACTCAGTCAAAACATTCCTTATTTTAGTAGTTCGCAACACTAACTAATTATAAACTGACTAAATACTTTACAACACATGTATTCTCTGTAGGGAGGGTACGTGTAGATGCTATCCGAAAACGATCCGAATATTTCCGAATATTTCCGAATGCGTCCCGTGGAGTTCTTAGACAAAGTTGTCTCATCAGGGAAATTGTAATAAGTCACATGTTCATAGATGTGAAACTGTAAAAGCTCGAGTTTTTTTGTCAGGCTTAAGAAACTGGAATTTAGCTAATCCGGCATGCGTAACTATTCCATCCTCAGGCGGAAAAGTTAAGAGCTAGGCCTACTTTTTCGAAGGCCGATTAGCGCTAATCCAAGGTTACAGTTTTCTTTATTTCTTTGTTCAAAAGCCTTTATTGGGCTAATTTACACTTTTTTTTTGAGTATTTGATAATCAGATAGCAGACAAAAATAATTATACAGGGGAAAAACTTTTAAATCACACTTACCGTTTTGACCCGACTATAGTTCATAAGTGTGCCATCATTTTCCAATTTCTCTCATAGAAGTCAGAAAACGGAATTCAAAGGAATTTGTCTTAAAGTAGTAATCATTCTATTGAACTGACTGAATATTTTATCTTTTGATAGGTTGAACTTGATGGTCGTGACGTTGTGGTGAAAGGTTTTGAGAAAGGAAATTTTATTGCTCCTACAATCGTTTCTAATGTCACAGTAAGTAAATATTGATTTTCTGTGATGATCCCCAGCTTTTGTCATAGTTCTACGCTTATTTAGCCCGAAAGTGATTTGACAACAACAAAACAAGGGAAATGATAAGTTGTGCGTCATGATTTAGTCACTAAGAGCAAACACGCTCTTGGGTGTGACATTTTTCCGCGCCTTGCATAAATCGAAACTTTCCCGAGTTTTTCATCAGACGCGTACTCCTCAGTAAATGGTGCTATTTTGCATCTTTCCCGCGCTTTACATCGCTTCTAAGTTTATCAATACTTGATGCTAGTCTCTTCTTCCACAAGTGTAACAGGTGAGTTATTCTTAATGCCAACCTAGTCCCTTCTCCCCTCCCCCTCGTTCTAGGAGGTGAAAAGAAGAGAGAGCCTTGGAACGAGGTCAGTTCAAATCATTATCCTCACTGCTCGTGATTAACCTTTGTTTCTTTCGTTACTGTAGCCGGAAATGACGTGTTACAAGGAAGAGATCTTTGGACCTGTTCTTATCACTATGAATGTGGACACTCTGGATGACGTAATGTTTAAGTTTCAACGCTTTAAATTTCGCTTTCACTTCTACCAGATGACTCGGTGGCACAGCAGTTGGCGACCTTCGGATCAGGAGGCCTGGGCCCCTTTTATTACCAAAATCAGAATATCGATTATCCGCATTGTTTGTCATACATTTCTCGTAATCTTAGCTCTGAGAATTGCATTGTAAAATCAAGGAACATCTTTTAGTTGATAACTGTCCTTCTTCTCATCACCTTTCTGCTAGAAAATGTATCAAATGTGAGGAGAAACGACGGAGCTGAATAACGTATACGCACGCGCTAGGTTTTGGTGCGGAAACACGGATTTTGAGTTGTTCGCATGGTTGATTTCCTAATCTGTTGCTTCGAGGCGTTGTTTTCCTTGCCGCTTTTCTTAGTACACCCCCTAAAAAATTTCAAAAACTAATTTTCTCCTTAAAAACTCTGGAAATAGGAAAGTGCCTTCGACGAAAACAGAGTTCCTCGGTTTTAAAAGTCAGCCCTTATTATTTTCCGCTAATTTCGCTAAACTTTAGACCTAGGACACTTGAGCCCGCTTTGTTTACCGCATACCCTCTGACGTAGCATTTCATTATTCAGCTCTGTCAGGAGAAACTCCTTTTTGGCTGTCAAAGGGGTAAATAATGAATATTATGGGTTAATCAACAGAATTTTGTTTGTTCTATTCAAGGCCATCGACATTGTGAACAGTAATCCGTACGGCAATGGAACCGCCATCTTCACAAACTCTGGATCAGTGGCGCGAAAATACCAGCACAAAGTGGATGTCGGACAAGTGAGTCAGCGTTATCAAACAGCAGTAAAGTGCATTTCTACTGAGTGTTGCAAAATCAGAACAAGGGCAAAAAAACGCAAGAAGCAAATCAGAACTGAGAGTTAAAACAACGAAATTGCCTAAAGCGCAGGAAAACGGGGTGACCAAGTCGCGATTTAAGAGTGAATTTCATTGGTTGAGAGGGTGTGGCGAGGTTTATAGACCAATCACATATTCTGGATCACTCTGTGAATTGTGGAAACGCCTGAAGAGTTTTGCGTCGGATAGAACGCGTCAGTTTAAAAAAATTATCTTACTTTTTCTTTATAGATCGGTGTCAACGTTCCCATCCCAGTCCCTCTGCCCATGTTCTCTTTCACTGGATCACGTGGTTCTTTCCTAGGAGATGCGCATTTCTACGGAAAGCAGGTTTGTATCAATGCCTTAAACGTCCGGCAATGCAATAAAGGGGGGGACTCAAGGAAAGTTTGGGAGCTGCCGATCCCGTATAAGACAAAATACTTCAATTTTGCTACTTTGTTTAAGAACAAATTTCATAGAAAGGGAAAGGGTCTTTCAAAGACTTCTGTGTGCTTGGTCTGTTAGGGTTGTGATTTCAATCTTCTTCGTTTGGTGAATTGTACCAGCGTGCTGAGGGGAGACTGGTACCATTTGGTTTTATGAAACATCGACTTTTCTTTTCAATTTATCTTCAGGGCATCAACTTCTACTTGGAAGTGAAGACAATCACAAGTCTCTGGAGAGACGAAGATGCCGAAACCCTAAAGGCAACAACAGCGTTCCCCACTATGAAGTAAATTAAGGAAACGTGAAGCATTAGCACGAAATTCTCGTCATATCTGAAGCGTACACCTCATGCAGTACCCAGATTTCCCTTGTGTGACTGGCCATGGGAGATCTGGGTACAAGACTTGCACTCCGAAGCCCATTAACCAGTAGTAAATTGGGATTTTTAATGAATGAAAACAAAGCTTTAGTGTGGATGAAGAACAAAAAAAAAAGTGACAGGAAAATGCAGACTGGCCCACGCGAAACAAATGTAGCCGGAAAAATTCAGCTGTTCGTGTTTCACCTCATTACCATAGGTACATGTAGATGTTCATTGATGTCTGGAAACTTAAGCAAGAAATGAAGGCATCTAACGGCGACTGTATAGTGACCTCTAGCGATGTACTCTTTAATTCTCCTAGACAGTTGATCTTGATTTTTAACGGGATCTATCTGTACATTGCTTCTCTGTGGACTGTCCGTAAATAAAATATTTACCAAACATGTCAATTCTTCTGTAGTGTGGTAGACTAGAGAAAAAATTATCTTGAAATGACGACAATATTCAGCTTTGTGCGACAATCTGATAAGTCTGAGAATTCTCATTACCTGTTTTTACTGAGGATTATGTATGTATGCAATAGGGAACAGTTACATATCAATCACCAATGAGAGTTAATGGGTTTACTTGATGTGCTGTTTAAATGAGACGATGTAAACACGGTTCTGACGGTTTACATTCGCGTTTTTTTTTTTTTTTTTTTTAGAAGTATTTCATGAAAGCAGTATAGACTATTCCGTGTTTTACTTAGTCTCAGGGACTAGAGAATCATTCCAAACTTATGCAGACTCGCGACTGGGCTCAGGATCTTCAGATATCCTTATTGATAAGATAAGGCTATGTAGCTACGAGAAAAGTTCTCTAGTGCTGAAGATGGCGTGGAAAAGGTTCTAAGTTGACTATAAACTGGGATTTAACTATAATTTATGTGTACAGCTTGGACAATATGAGCAATCTTGTTTCCAATCTTTATCTTATTTCAGTCACGGATTAAATTCATAAGGAATGCAATGGATTTTTAACATGCCTAAGACTAATTTTCGCATTATGATCTTCCAACTTAGCGAAGAATCTTGAAAACCATTTACTTTCCCGAACGCTTTATCCCTGACTTCTAAAGTTGAGATGAATTTTCATATGACCCATACGACCCCGCGCGCACAATCCCGTGGAAACTAAAGTGAAAGCTGACGTGAAAAGGGCCCGACGAGTTGACGTGCGCTGCTGGTCCGAATAGAAGCTGCACGGCCCTGCACTCACACGGCTTTGTTGCAAAAACTAAAAGGAAAAAAGAAAAGAGTTAAAAAAAATTGCTTTCCTCAATGAATTGTGAGTTCCTTATTCCTACTCAAAAAAAAAAAAAAAAAATTAAAAGTTCTTATGGCAAAATTTTTTTGTGGTTGGCCTGCGTTCGCCCGTCTGTCTCGTCCTATTTTCTACTCTTAATGGTTATATGATAAAATGCTTATTGACAGAATTTGATCGATGACGTACGGACCTTGTCGCGCTCGCCGCCAAATATTTTCCCGTACGGCCCTCCCGCTCACACGGCAGTCAATAAGTACATAATAACTTCTGATGCTGTCTCATGTGGGTGGTTTGTTTTAAAGGTTGCAAACATATGTCTATAATTTTATTCTCGAACAATTATTCTCAGAGAAAAATAAGAAGTTGGAGGAAAGAGAGGTTTTCGCGTCCCTCATTGCCTGCTGCATGCCCACCGTCCATTCTTCGCAAATCTTCGGCGAATACTCGTGAAGACTCGCAACTATTCGACTTAAATCTAAACCGAAGCCCTGGGAACTAAAAATCCGATGGCAACAAAATAACCATCGAATATTGTCCCTGAACAGATGTGTTCGCCTAAAACCATCCTGTGGGCTAAATTTAAACCGGGAAATAGTAACATCTGCTCATGGACAAGGAGCTGCTAGCTTAGAAGCAAATTATGGCCGAAGGAGGAGGTTGGCCGTGGTCGTCTCGCCGTCGAAGTCGTCGAGAACGTAACGATAGAGAAGCTAAAGAAAGCGACGATTTGGATTGCGACTTGTTGAGAGTTGTACTAAGCGACTCCGAAGATTTTGTCCCCGAAGACGTTAAAAGTACTTCGTCAGTTGCTTGCAGTTGTGCTTCAGATTTTCAAGAGGACCATTCCAGCTGCAATTCATCCAGTGAAAAGAGTTGTCCGAATTTGAGCGATCTTGATCCAGAGCTGCCTTCGAATTCTCGGAGCTTACGATGGTTGAAGAAAAAAGTGTCTCGTCGTAAAAGTTCCAAAGAAACTGATAAAACTTCCGCTGATAAGAATCGTCAGAGTTACCGCGACGAAAATGGCTTAAGCTATTACGCTCGTTGTTTACAAGAAGCGAAACGGGTGAGGGAGAAAGCTGAGTCGGAAGCTTTGCAACGGAGACCAAATCCTCAAGGCCGACGCCGGAGACCACTTAGTTTACTGGGTCCACGATCAGCTGGGAACGAGGGCGATGAGAGATTTCAAGTTCCGAGGAGAAGGAGATTTTCGTTTTCATGGGGGTTTCGAAGAGAAGATTCAAATACAGAAGTTGTGGACGATGGTGAAAGTGCATCAACTCAATCCTCTACGTCTCCTTCACTTCCTCGTGAAGCTAATCAAGAGTGCAACCAAACCAGTGCTATAAGCCTTGAGGAATTTGAGCGAAGGCGAAAGGAAAAAGCTCGTATGAAAGCAGCCCAACATAAACTGGAGTATTTCCTTATAAACGATATCGCATCCATCACGAATTGCCCGTGGTACTGGGGAAAAATTAATAGATTTGAAGCTGAAAAGGTGAGCTTCAATTTAATTAGCTAAACAATAGTGTACGTATATTAGTACGATGTTATGTAGACTTTTGCCAAGTAACGATGTCAACTGAGAAATATCCGAGACCGTGGATTTTATTGAAAAGATTTATTTTGCTAAGGGTGAATTTCATTTTGAAAAACTAAAAGGTTTCCAGCTATATTTCGTTTTCTTGTCAATTATTCTGTCTTTTGGAAGAGAGCATAATTTTGACGGCCAATGGAAGCATATTAAGCGTAGATACAGTTTTACGACGTGTTGAAAAAAAAAAAAAAACATAAGTAAAACATTTCCTACAAAGTGCGGAAAAGACTTCCCTTATTAAGATATTGAAAAGGTGTCTTTCCGATTTAGCACCAATTTATGTCTTTGCCATAGTTTAAGATGTGAATATGGGCACCTGTCGTGCCTTGAAAGCCTAATCCAATTTTGAACAAAGTATTTTAAAACAGGATGCGTTCTTAATGTGCCGCTCAAATTTCATAATGTCATTAATTTTAAAAGGCTTTATCCTTGAGTTTGGAAAAAAATGAATTAGCTTTTAAAGTGTCATTGTCTATTGAAATTTAAGTTTATTTTGATTAAGACGTTTGTACTGCATTAGAATGCATTCCACCATAAAAAAGAATTTAGAGGCTGGTACCATTAGAAAGAACTAGAGACACTAAGCTTTATTTATATCACATGTTTGTTAATGGTTACTCATTAGATTGGTATAGACTATACAAACTGAATTTTTTTAAAATATGGGTAGGATGTTTTGAGTTTACTGAACAGTTAACAGGGCTTTTTTTGCATCCTTAAATTTTTTCCTCCTGATAATTTTGCAACTGACGTGCATTGTTAAAAACTAAAATAACTTGAGCGGGTGTCTGGCAACAGATGGTAAAAGGAATTGATAGACGTCATGTGTGGGTTGATTTTCGTCATCCAATTATTTTTATCAGCAAAGTTTGGCTTTGCCGTACTACATTAAATTAGCTTAATATTCATTTTGAGCTTTTCAGCCAAGTGGTTTTGGTCCTCCTGTCTTGCTTTTTAAGCAAGCTACTCAACCCTAATGCCAGTCTGTGTATTCTTCAAAATTCCTCTAAGCATTTCCTATGGTTTTGATAAGGAAGACTTGTTTTTTAATCAAGGCTTCTTTTGTTAGTGATCATCTCCTTGATTCTCCTAATGTTAATGCTTGATTCACCAGCAACATTGTAATGAGAATTTAGATGCAAATCAATCTTAGGGGTTAGAGAGTTCTTTCATTGCCACTCTGCATTAAAGACTATGAGAAAACTGTCAAACAAAACCTGAAAAGATTGAAATGGTAACTGGTTATATATTAGTTTGGTATGAACAATCTGAGAACAGGGGTTATGGGAAACATACAACAACCCTTTTATCGCATTATGTAAGGGTTTTGACAACTTTTTTTATAAGGGGCCAACAATGATGGTAGCTGTGCCTGAAGGGGGGCAATAAGGCAAAAGCCAAACACAAGAGCTTGTTTTTAAGCTTAACAGATGGCAGTAAGTGGTATAGGCTGCAGTGGGGTAAAAGGTAAAGTCTGTTTACGAGTCAAGTGGCTCATCAGGCCAGCGCTAAACTGCAGTATCTTTGGCATGAAGCAACTAGGAGTATTTCTACTCCCCCCCTTGGATGGGATGCCAGTCCATCGCAGGGTTACCCCCCAGCATTAGATTTGCCGGTACCCATTTAAACACCTGGGCAAAGAGAGGCACTGTGATAGTAAAGTGTCTTGCCTAAGAACACAACATGATGTCCCCAGCCAGGGTTTGAACCCGGACTACTTGATCCAGAGTCAAGAGCACCAACCATGAGGCCACTGCGCCTCCATAGGCTGCCGTAAACAGCTGGTAAATCCTAACAGAAATTCTCCTCATTGTCTGCCATTCATTTATTCTAATGTTAGTTTTGAGAATTTGGTGTTACTAATAAATGAAATTGTAACCTCCTAGGTGATATTTTTCTTCATTTTCACACCTGTCAATGTGATATCATGTTGACATAGAATGGAGAAACTAGCTCTAGATCCCACATGGCAGTAAAAGGTGTAATCCAGATTCTCAAATTCTTGCTTTAGGTGTTGGAAGGCCTTCCAGATGGAACATTTCTGCTGCGTGATAGTGCCCAATACCATTACCTGTTCTCTGTGAGTTTCCGTCGCTACTCTCGTACTTATCATGCACGTATTGAACAATGGAAACACCGGTACAGCTTTGACAAACCTAGTGACTACTCCTTTTACTCAACAAGTGTTTGCCAGCTGTTACAGCATTACTCTCGCGCGGAGCAGTGCATGTACTATGAACCTCTTTTGCTAAAGCCATTGCATCGGAACAATCCGGTAACACTGCAAGATCTCTGTCGTGCAGTGATCTGCAGCCACACAACATTTCAAGGAGTCAGTGAACTTCCTCTGCCAAACACTCTTAAGATTTTCTTGAGAGAGTTTCATTACAAAGTTCCTGTAAAGAGGACCGAGGAGAAAGGTACACAAACACCTGCACCAAGAAAAAGATTTAGCTTCTCATTCCACAGAGACTAGTCAATAAAACTTAACCCTAAGTCCCTAAGATCAGTTTCCATACTCTCCCTACTGTTCATTATACATTTCCTATGATGCTGACCGGGAGAATTTGTCTAACAATCAGATCTTCCAAAGGTGGAGACCATTTCCTTTATTCTCATGTCATTAATGCTTGATTCAGCAGTTGTATTGAACAAAGAAATTGGATGCTTATCATGCTCAAGATTTAAAAGGGTTCAATTTGATTTTAAAAATAAATCAGATTAAATTAACATTAAAGACTGGCAGTAATGAAATTTTTATTTAACCATGATGGTCTCTATCATGCCTTTGTCTGTTTATTTGGTCAAATCTAGAATCTTAATTTATAGATACAATGGAATTCCAGGGGTAATAATAGGAGAACATTTTTGAGCACATCATGTCAAACCTTATTTTCCCATTTTTTTTGGGATATCTACTTTTTATAAATTATATTATATCCATCCATTCCTTCTCCTCTCCAAAAATTAACTCTGTGCCGGGTAGTGTTAGGTAGATATGTATTTATGCTTTATATTAAAAGATAACTGAAGAAAGTAAGTCTTATAACTCAGTTTATGTCATTCAAAAAAATTCTCACTGGTAAAATTTAAGAACTTAATTATTGTTATGGCTTAGGGCTTGACACTAACAGTAGCCCCCCCTAGCCAAAGACTAAATGCTCTAGTAGAAATTCAGTTTTGGCTAGTGGTTTTTAATTTCCACCAGTCAGTTTGGCTAAGCTGACTAGTAAACAAACTGAAATTGTTGTAACATCTAGGATGTCACTAGCTACTTGGTGAGTTACTTGAAAAGTTAGTGTCGAGCCCTGTGGTGCTAAAGAATGGAATAAATTAGGTGTTAATGATGCAGGTTTCCAAATGAAGTTACATAATTCCCAAATTGGATGTAGGAGATATTTGTAGCATGCATTCCTGCTTTGAATAGTAGGATTTTTTTTCTTTTGAGTGACATTAAAGTTTCTTCCAGTTGGCCAGTTTAATCCACAAGTGCTTTCTTTGTGTACAGACAACAATTATTACTGGTTTTTTTTTTCCTACACGTATTTGGACACCAAGATTATCTTTATGAAACAATTTAAAGTTAGTTGAAAATAGAGCAAAGAATACATTAAACTATAAACCTTTTAAAGTTCTCTTAAGAATATGTTCATGTTTTTAGTCACTTAGTGCAAAAAAAATCCTACACATGCTTTATGTATTTGCTGTATTTAGGCTCTTGAATCCTAATGATTACTTTGAGTCTAAAATCAGGCAATTAAAGCTACTGAGCAGAACTTTCTGGTGCTATTGTTTAATATTTTGTAAACATTTGTTCCAATTTTAAATTTACAGTTCAAAAACATAGTGTTTCACATTCAAATGAATGCTACAGGACTTGCCGTTGTCCTCTTTGTCGGTAAGACACTTGAAATTTCACTTTAAGAGTGTTACTTTGGAAGCATATGTGGAAAACTTCCCTTTGAAAGAACTGCTTAGAAGGTTTGTGCCACAATCTTTGGAATTCCCCTGTGTGGCTGTATTTAGCAAAAACTATATTTATTTCAAGTTGCAGTTATTACTCTCTTTTAGTTGATGTTCAGTCTATTTACTATATTTTGAAGTAGCAAGTGTAAATGACACTCTTTTTTTTTTTGGAGTAAACAAAGAGGTAGAAGAAGTAGAGGTTTCCTTGGTGATCAAGATTCTTGGGCAATGAGACACGTCCCTTGATCTCAAACTTATTTTGAATCAGGCTAATGATTGATTGGGATTCAAATTTTGAACTTGTTGTAAACTTGAAAGAAGCAAAAGATCTGCTATCAGTGCACAATTAAGTAAAGAGATGTACGAATGAACTGAAGCAATTTATCCCGCCCGTTCTACTTGTCTTTAAAAAGTGGTGTTTTTTAGACCTATCCAGTTTTCCAGTGGTGTATTGTACATTTTGTAAAGATCAAAATTGTGTGGCATTTTTTCATTTGCATCTTAGAAAGCTGAAATTTTACTCCAACAATGAATAAAGAAAAAGAAAAGAAGGAACAAATCTATATTGACGTGTTAAATAGTATTATCCCAAAGGGGTAGGTTATGGAATAAAATTTGTTAAATTATTTACTTGTTGTCTCATTGACTCGTTTGCAGATCACTTCTCTGACAATGGGCAGAGAGATCTTTTGCTGAGGGAAAGGGGTTTTAAAGGATGAAGCAGTTTCTCACACCCATCTCCTGCTATGTAAGAATTAAGTTGACGAAGTAATATAATGTAGAATCTTAATGATAATCTGATGAAACCTGTTTGAAGTTTCTCCTCCAAACTCCTGCGGTTAGGGTGGCATGGGGAGTACTTCTCTGTAAGGCTTCGCTCTTTCCTTACCAGGCCCTTTCCTTCTATCAATATGGCGGTAGAGAGGGACATATAAAACAACAAGCAGTGGATGAAGGTGATTCTGCGTAGCAGTATTATAGATTGCTAAATGGCTCCAATGTATGAATCTGGAATGCGAATGGTCGCTATCGGATGGTAAGGAATTGTAATGTTTCTCGGACTAAATTTACTTAAGCTTCGATTTCAAAGTTTACTTTAAATTTGTGGATTGATCGCGAAAGAAGACAAGAACGGGTTAAATTTGTCCTTACTTACTTGAGGTCGGTTTTCTAAATGCATATCTTAAATTCACAGTGGATTGTGTTGTTTCACTGATGATTTCATTGTTACGCATTTCTCCATGTACCAGTTAAAGTTACGGTGCAAATTCCATTCTTTGGCCCTATACATTTCCACCCCTATAAGATTAGTTTGAGCGTAGGCCGAGTAGTCTGCTGTATCTAATATTCATAAAATCTGGAAACAATCCTGAACGCAGTAAGCCTCTCTTGAAAGCCTTTTCTAGAATATGAAGTATTCCTGAACCCCGGGAGTGACCAAGACAGAATTTCTCCTTACAATATCAATACAATATCAAGTAGAATATTAATGAGAATAAAGAAAAATATCAAACGGGATTATTAGTTGATCCAATACCAAACTCTCCCAACTAATATCATAAGAATTCTAAATAGAGTAAGAAAGATGGTACATTTTGAGCTTGGTAAAGAAATCGAGATGTTTTTCATCTTGTCACAAGCATGGGCCAAAGGAAAAAATTCTGAGTCTCAGGTTTGATTCCTAATGGGCACTCATGGAATTTATTTAAGTCTCCCATGCTTGTAAAGAGATGAAAATATCTCTTTCTATGATAAGAATTGTACAAAAACAATAAGGAGAATTACAGATTAGATTTTGGAAGTGAAAAGATTAATGTACCTTTCTGACACCACTATGTATTGATCGGAAGGTGAGGAGGAATTTTGACTGACATTGATTTTTTTCTTCTGATTAAAGGGTTGTGATAGTCACAAGTGGAATATCCTCTTTTATTTTCCTCAAGAGATATGTAGACAAAAAGAGACTTGAACTAATCAAGGCAAAACAAAGAGAAAGAATGCTGGAAGCACAAAAGGAAACCAAAGGAGAGTGAGAGGAAAGAGCAGTTTAATGCCAAAGAAACACAGAATGGAAAATTGGGAACAAAATCAACAAAGGTCTACTTTATGGTTACATGTCTGAAATCCTGTGTGGGGTCACAGAAGTGTAACCATGAGGTGGGCATTTTCAAGTCAGCCATCACTTCACTCTGTGTTATTTACATGCAGAGAAAACAGACTTTGTCCTTTAAAACCTTAAAGGGTGCGTGACCAACATCCAATTTCTCTTTACAGTTAAACTGCTGAATCATTCACCAACCAAAGAAGCATAAATTGTCAAACAAATTCTCCTAGTCAGTATGAAAGGAAATGTATTTGGAAACTGATGTTAGGCAGAAAGGGTTAATAAAATTCAGTTTTAAAACCAACTAGGGATTTTGGACAAACAGTGTTTAGCAATGTAAGAGTATTGGTAGAACTGAAGTTCACGCTTTAAACCCTTAGAGTGACTAACGTCTAATTTCTTCTTACAGTAATTCTGTTTAATCATGAGAATAAAGGAAAAATTACCAACCAAAGAAGCTTGCAGCTAATTAGTGAGCATATAAAAGGGCCTCGTGTTGAAACGATCAGATCACCCCCAATAGAGGCACCAGTCAGGAGTTTCGTAACATTAGGCCAATGAATTATAATTTTGGTTACATTCATTAACTCTTTAAACCAGAGTAGCATCAAACCATGTCTGATTGTCCTCTAGGTTGCTGTGTGAACTTCAATAAATCAAGCTTTGATTGTTAAACAAATTCTCCTTGTTAGTACCAAAGGAAATGTTCAGAAAACAGTATGGAGAATACGGATACCGATCTTAGGGTGTGTATGGTTAATCAACAACTAATTTACATTAGGAGTGTAATCTTCTAAGAAACATTACTGTTAGAAGTTGTAGAGTGCAAGTACCTCCACTGAATGGGTAAAACAAAATTGTGGTTACAGGAAGTTTACACCTCCAAGGTTTTTATTTCTTTATTGTTTTATTGTTTGTTTGTTTTTTTCTTGCATTCAGGTGCATTTCAATTGTTTTGAGGGTGAAAGGGAGTTAGAAATTCTCCTGCTGGTTTAATATGAATTTCCCTCCCCCTTAGATTTATAACCATAATCCAAACCTGAAAAGAAAACACTTAGATTTCATTGCAAACTTTTATGGCAATATTAATATTAGTCTTTTCTCCTTCTTTTTCCCTCTGATTGGCTGTTGCAATAAAACTGCAGCTCGTCAGATAGTGTTACATGTAAATGGTATTGATTTGAATATAAAGCTGTGGTATCCATGCTTATTTGTATATCAAATCATTTGGCCCAATCATTCGGTGGGAGGCTAAAATTTGAGTCCTGTCAGCCTTGATTTCATACAGCAAACAGTTAAGCCAAGGTTGGGTGATAATCACAGCAAAGTGGAACATTATGCATCAGAAAATCTCCCTAATATCACCAGCATTGAAGAGTCTGTTATTTCTTCTTAATTCCATGTGTTTCTGCCAGCATCTTGAACGTAGTTTTCTTAAGATGTCTTAACTTGGTATTAACTTGGTGGTCTCATGGCGCCATTCAAAGATGCTGCCACCGCACATGCACAAAAACTTTAATGTCCTGTATGGGAACCCAGGCAACAGCCAAGTGTCAACCAGCTGCAACAATCTTTCTTGTCTGTATTTGCACATTCTTTTTCTCAAACTTCTTCACAGAGAATTGATTATTTTTTCATTTATTTATTCACATTTTTTTTTTTTTGGGGGGGGGGGTTTGAGGGGGGTGGTGATACCAGTGCTTCAATTTTACAACTCTGCTGAGATGCAGCTTATTTTTGTCATCTTCCAGGTGTTTGTACTGTGAACAATCTTGCTGTACTGTCTCCTGATCCTGTTATTAAAAAGCTCCCATCCCTGCAAAATAAAGAGTTACATCACAATATCAAGTGTTGAGAACATCATTCAATTCCTTCTCTAACATCTCAATCCCTATGGACTCCATTAATATATCTTATTAACCAAGCGCGAGGACCGTACTGGGAGAATATTGGCCCGAGGTCTTGACAGTATGGACCGAGCATAGCAAGGTCCGTACAAAAAAGACCGAGGGCCGATATTCTTCCAGTACGGTCCCGAGCAAGCTTCGTTAATAAGAGATTTATTATACTACTGAAGTTCAAAGGGACACAAGTGTGGTATCATTCGGGACCATTAGGGACAGTGCCCGGTCCAATACTTAGAGAATATTGGACCGGCAATAGAGCATTTTGATTGGTTGATTTTAGTTATTGGCCCTCTGACTTCCCGAGTCGTGTAATAAAGCATTTCATTCATACTTTTTCAACATGAAAAGTGTTAGGAGGTAGTCAGTGGTTTCTCTAAAACGATAGTCTAGACTAAAGAGCTCCTGTATTTTTGTCCCAGAAAAAGGAGAAACTTCAGATTTTAGGCCAGAGTCAAGTTTGTGTTCCATTGCATTCCGATATTCTAACCCATGGCTACAAGAAAGAGCAGTTGATGTGCAAAAGATTTTAACCCTTTGACCTCCAAGAGGGATTAGAATTTAATTTCTCCTTACAATATCACCCCTGAATCACACATTAGGGTCAGGAGAATAAAGGAAATAATCACCAACTGAATAAGCTCTTGATTGTTAAACAAATTCTCCTTGTCAGCACCTTAGGAAATGTATAGAGAACAGTACAGAGAATATGCATGGTTGAAAAGACTAAGTGTTGCCTTAGAAAAAAAATGAACACAAATGACAATTGCAAACAAAATGATCAGTTTTTCTGGAGTTATTGACAAAGAATGACACCAGGTCACATATATTATGTGACAACGACAATAACAACTTTTACAGGCACCAGGATTACAACTTATTACATAATTGTCTTTGCTCATGGTTTTCATTTTTTCTTAGCTTAGTTTTCGCGTCTTTGCAGCTTTTATCACCTTCGATAATTACCATACTCATATATATATTGTGAGCCACATTTTCTCCCCATTCCAGTGAAGTATTAGCAACAGAGTGTTTTAAGTGCGTTCCAAAAAATATCAGTATTTTTTTGAGAGTTTTTGTCCAACCATGCATACTGTTTTTAGGGTGCAAAGGGTAAGTTCTTGGTGTGAACTGATTTCAACTATGTCCACACAATTCTTAACCCACGAGCAGAGTTGTCTGTTAAAATAATCTTACATCAGGGCTGGACACTAACTTTTCAACTTACTAACCAAGTGTCTAGTGACAACTTAGATGTTATGACAATTTCAGTTAGTTTACTAGCCAAATTGGCTGATGCAAATCAAAAACCACTAGCCAAAACTAAATTTCTAGTAGCCTGTGGCTAGTTGGCTACCATCAGTGTTGAGCCCTTTCACATTATCAAATGAGACATAAATGCCAAGGAAGGGTGTGCGGAAACACAATGTGTGAAAAAAAGGGATTGTATTACCTGGCCACAGCGAGATCCAGTATTTCCCCACTGTGACCATACCACTCTCGCTCACAGTTTCCTGATCTACTGTCCCACAGTCGCACCACACCATCCAGACATCCAGTGTATATTAGAGGCGTCACAGAATCCCACTTCAATCTCACTATCCCTCCCTGTAAGTGAAAACAGAGTTTGTTTTTCTCAGATCAAGACAAGCTCATCTGCTGTAGGGTGCTATTTTTAAAAAATATTAAATTCTTCCATCCAATTTACAACAAAATGCATGGAAGTCAGTAAGGAGAATTACAAATTGGATCTTTGTAGTTAAAGAATAAGAAATCATTCTACTCACTGGATGTTTACATTCTTGTCGAAGCCTGTATGAAGAAAGATCCCACACCCCTAGGACCCCACTCAACGATGCTGTAGCTAGCATGGGTTGCCTGTGGACAAGTCGTGATAAACACAAAATAAACCACTGAAAAGCAACTTGCAATAATCACTTGGTACAATAAGTGTGACATATGATTAAGACCAAAATTAATACATGACACATGATTTTCGAAGAAAGACAAGGTAAGATAAGAAATTAAGTCTTCCCTTTTAATTCATAACATCAAATACTGGTCTGTGAGTTGAAGTACATCATATGCATGTCGAGTTTTTGTAAATTTGTGCAAGAAACAGGATCAGGACTCCCCCTTCCTTCTTGCCAGTTATGATTAAATTTTGAATCATCTAATAATAATAAAAATGATGATGACAGCTATGACAAAGACTGTGTTGATCAACACAGTGACAGCAGTAGCCACAACAATTTTTAAAGAAGATAAATTATTTTTTGGTTCAAGTGGTTTTTTCTGTAAGTTAAAACTCAAACCAGCACTTCTAAGTCATGGATACTTTGGATAATTCAAATCCTTACTGTGGTGAAAATCCAACAGCTTCAATGGAAGGTGGTGGGTCACTGTCATTCTCGGATTGAAAACCTGCAGCCAATGTACTCAGTACCTGAGGAAAAACCAGTTTGACAATATAATTAGATCAAATGTGACAACAACATAACAAAAGTTGCCTCATTTTGCAAGCTACTCTTGACTCTCTTCAGGCCAGCTTGCTGGATTCTTGCTGAAAAATCTATAGCCATGGTCAATAAGCTATGTTCTTAGACTAGATCCTAAACTCTCAGAGTACCTCAAGGGCTGTCCATAGGTAAGCATGACTTGGGGTATGCATGTAATCAATATAGAAGTGGAAGGCAAATAAGAATTGTGGCCAGGCGTGGTTGGTGCGCTTGAGTCCAGATTAAGTGGTCCAGGATTTGAGTCCTGGCCAGAGACATTGTGTCGTGTTCTTAGGCAAGACACTAAACTCTAACAGAGCCTTTCTTAACCTAGGTGTTTATTAATGGGTATCAGCAAATTTAATGCAGTGGGGGAGGGGGGGTAACCTAGCCATGGACTAGAATTTAATGCTTGAGGGGTAACCCTGAAATAGACTAGTATCCCATCCAGGGGAGAGTAGAAATACTCTTAGTCACTTTATGCTACAGAAACCAGAGTTAAGCACCAGCCTGATAGGCCACTTGGCTCAGAAACATACTTTTAAATAAGAATCTGAAGAGAGTCAGGTTATCAAAGATACCATGTTGTTTCATTGGATTACATGCAAGACTGGGACCTGTACAGTTCAAATATACCAGGTATTAAAAAAACTTTGCAGAAACCTTTAAGAAAACATTGAAAATCGAATCAATCCACACATCTTAACCGAGCTGTTACTGGTAACTTACACATTCAATTTCACTCAAAACTAGGAAATGGTTGCTGTATAAATTTCTTCCAGGGTATTTAATTATTCAACACGTATTATTAGTAAATCAAGGTCTGGAGAAAGAAGCCATGAGTAACACTTGAGCCCTGCAACTATATCTAAAACAATTTAAAGAAAAAGAAAATAACAGTCAGAATTTCTTACCTTCCCACTGTTTGTGTTGACTATTTTGACTGTGGAGTCCTCTGATCCTGTTGCCACAAGAACATTATCTCTGTGTCCATCTATACATGTTACGGATCCTTGGTGAGCTGTGCCATCTAAAGAAACAGAACTAACCAAGTTGTTCACCTGCTGAACATTTTATTTAGAACTCAAGGGGCTTTAACCCTAGTCTAACCCTTAGCAATGATTAGAAACTTGTTTCTCCTCACCCTTTCTCTGCTGAACAATAATTTTAATAATAATTTTATTAGTTATAGTGTGCAAATTAATGTTAAGATATGATCAAAATGATCACCAACTTATGACAGAAGCTGAATCCTGTTGATTTTTACCTGATAGATGAAAAGTATGCATTCCTTGTCTTAAGTCCCAGAGTTTTAAGGTGCCATCCTCATATCCAACACTTGCTCTTTTACCTATGACAAATTTCCAACAAAACATGAAGCATTACTGACAATTATTTCATTTTCTAAAAAGCCAAATGATCACTATTCCAAAAAGTTTGCACAATGGAGCAGAATTTTTTATTTTTGGAA